TGGTTCAAAACTTCAGAATCTTTTTCTCACTTACGAAATCGGGATAATCGACCTTTCGCCTGCGTGTTCAGTCACTTGAAGCGATCTTTCATTATGCTTCAGCGGCCAAGTCTCATACTAATTAGTGAGACAAGGAACACTCACTGAACTGAAATGAATACTTGTCCATTATAGGACAAGAAATGAAAAAACCTATCTCATTTGCTGAAGAGTAATTTTCGTAGGAGTGTTATTAATCATTCGAAAGCTTTAATCTGTGGCTACCTCCCCACGTGATTACAAGGAAAACCTTTGCGTTCCGTGCACGCATTTTTTTCTCAAGACAGAGCACTTTCTTTGGACTTTTGGTGATCATTTGATAGCGCATGTTTGCTGATTCCAACGCTGTATATTTTAGGAAGACCATTTCTCTGCAGTGCAACAGGGAGAATAAGTTGAATTAAAATAAGCGAGCAAGTAGTCTTTGGCCAATTCACGAGCCCCTCGGTGAGGTATCGAGGTGGCTTGACGCCACGATCGATCGATATTCAAGCACGTGAACGTGTAGAAAACATCTCGTAATATCTGAATGCCCTCGAGCCTTTGTTGGAAGCAATTAAGACGTTCTCGCCTCCTGACTTCCATCAAATCACAACGATGGTTGATTTGTCCGTATTCATGGAAAAATCGAAGTATTTGAAGTCTTTTTGTAACAGAGTCATATGTTTTATCAAGAGTTTTTCTTTCAAAGCTGAGAAAAAAATTTCGTGTTGAAAACCGAGATCGCACTTGCATAGGGCTTCATCGAAAATCGATCAATCATGGCGTCAGCCCACCCTACTGCCTCACCCGGAGGCTCGAGGAATGGCCAACGACCACTTGCTCGCTCTTTGAATCCAACTTATTTCCCTGATGCACTGCACAAAAACGGTCTTCCCAGAAAATGAACATAACGATGAATTCAGCAAACATCAGAGATTTTGAAAATGTTTCTTCATTTCTTCAATACGTACAAAGACGGAATATACACAAAATTCGCAACTTTTTCTTGATTGTAAATCTATCAACTTTTAACATTATTAGTTCTCACAGAGCGCGTCGTGACGTAGTGGTTGTGATGCTCGTCGCGGAGCGCGAGGGTCGAACTCCATCCCCCAACGTTCTCCAGTAGTCAAAAACGAACGCCCTATGGAACTGCACAGCCAGGTTACCCTCGAGATTGTGAAGAGGCATTCGCAACAGTAATTGAGAGCTTTCAAGAAGACGAAAAATAACTGGAATGCTAGAAGTGCTGAGATCCGCACAGGGAAGAAAGAACTGTGAAGACGGATCAATAAAGTGTCTAAAACACTTCTCGCACGAAACGTACGTAAGCCACTGACGTATCAATCTCAAAAGGGCTCAAAACATTCTCGCAGACTACATTACCAGACCTCTTAACTTAAGGATACTGTGAAGTTAAAAATAAATTTGTCCTTGCGACAATTTTAACGACTTTCACAGTGGCTACAGAAAATGTGTGCTACACTTAGATATTTTTTCAAGTTCTTGTAACTGTTAGCCTCAATCCATATTAAGATCTTTGCCTCTCTATAAATGAAACTCTTTTGTGTGTGGGACATTCATAGTCACAGTGATATGAGTCGTTTATGCGGAATAAAGTAACGAATAAATCATTACGGGAACAAAAGGATTTGAAGGAACTATCGTACTCAACAGCACACATTAGGGAAGGTGCGATAATGACCAGGCAATCAAGGAGACGGTATAGTGACAGGTTGGCAAAATCACGGAGTGGAGTGGGAGCTGCCGTTTTTGTGACATCAAGAGCTACAGAATGAAGCAGCTCAGATTTGCGATCCTTGGCATTTATTATAGAACAGCAATAAAGATTGCAGGTCTAATGAGTATGACATTGAACATCACACTACCAAAGAAAAATTGTGTTTATGTTGGTCACTGTAAAAAGGTAAGAAAGAATCCCACAAAGATGTCATATCTGCTGCGATAGTTTGAGACTAAGTGACTCCTTTTTTATTTGTTTTCTCGTTATTTCCAGTTCACCGCAGACTAATCGAGACTACCCTTATTGCCGTCAAGATAAAAAACTTGGTGACAGTACAGTTGCTTGAAGGGCAGCCGGTGAAAGAATACCAGGCGAAAGGACATTTGGAGAAAGTATCGTCCCACCGATCGCACTCGGTGACAAAATATTTGGTGAAAGTGCAAAAGGACTGAGAATAGCACCCCCGATCACAGCTGGATTAAGGACGTTTGGTGAAAGAACATAGGGAGATAGAATGGTTCCACCGACAACTGCTGGGCTTAATATATAAGGAGAAAGAACATACGGTGAAAGAACAAGGGTTTTGTCGAGAGTTGGTGAAAGAACAACTGGTGATAGAACAGAAGGAGCTAAAAGAAGTGGAGAGAAGAGATTCGGTGAAAGTATGACAGGTCCGAGTACTTGAAAGGCCAACAACTGGAGCGAACAGAAATGGACTGAGCACAAGCGGCTGTAGTACCGACAACTGACGTTTTCGGCGATGCTGCAATTTTTCACTTAATTTCAATATTGATATGTAATATCTACAGCCAACGTGTCGAATGACTCCGCATTGCAAGCCACACATGAGCTTCTTATACAACACCAGGGAGCTGTAAACATGTATGGCTTGACGATTGAGCAGTTCATGATCCTACTAAAAGAGTGCTTAAACTGCTCAATCTTCAGATGGTCCGGGAATTATTATGCTCAAACCAGAGGGCTGGCAATGGGACAGCGACTGGCACCTAGCCTGGCCATTGCCTTTATGTCTAAAGTGGAAGCACCAGTGATGGATCTCCGGCCATTACTCTACTGTAGGTATATAGATGATTGTTTGATTATCTGTTCCACTCAAGAGGAGCTGGATGATTGTTTTAGATTGCTGAATGAACAGTCAGAGTATATAAGATTCACCCGTGAGATACCAAAAGACGATTGGCTTCCATTCTTGAACGTGCAAATAAGCTTAACTGAGAGCGGCTACATAACGAAGTGGTACCGAAAGCCAAGTAGTAAGAATATCTTGGTTCACTATCTCTCTTCTCATCCCTTACATACGAAGAAGGCGCTAGTAAAAAACATGTTTCGAACAGCAGCCAATGTATGTACCGGGGAGGAGCAGAGAGTAGAATCCGTGAAACTGGCGCGGGAAATAGCCACTTCTAATGGATACGAATTCGTAGCCCCTCGGCTTAGGTTTAGAGGAAATAATGCGCCTCCGAACGAAAACTTGGTTGAAAGGAAAGTCCCGTTTATCATCCCGTTCTATTCAAATGAGATTAGTACAGCTATAAAACGATGTTTGAAAAGAGCGGGTTTAGAGCAATCGGTGGCCATTATTGAAATACCACCGAATACTCTAAAACGCCAGCTAGTTCGGAACCGCTTATATGACCGTCTCTGTATGATGAAAGATTGTAAAATATGTCCTAACGGCAGAGACGGTGATTGCATGAGCGTAGGTACAGTCTACCTAATCTCTTGCAAGGCGTGTAGTGATAAATATGTTGGCGAAACGGGTAGGCCGCTCTATGCACGCATAGAAGAACACCTAGCTGACAAGCGTCTTAATAGACAAAACACCCCGCTAGGGACGCATAGAGCACAGAAGCACGACGGAGTTGATTTTGAAATCGAAGTCACCATCCTTGCGCAGGAGCAAAAAACATCAGCGCGAAAGATCTTGGAAGCATTTTGGATTAATACGACCAATCCAACCATAAACCGCAGGGAGGAATGCCTTGTAAACACTCGTGATATGAGCCAGTATATAAGACTGTTGTTTTGATGGGTAGGGTGCATTACGAGCCTATGTGTCTCTCTTGCCGGTGATCTCCACTTGGATCATCCAGTGGAACACATATAAAAAGCGGTGAGTATGTTGAGTGTTGATTTTTGCTTGATGCGATTGAAATCTAGGTCTGGTGATTTTCTCTAAAGAAGTAATGGAGGTGTTTGACTGATTGTATTGCAAACATTTTGACCTTTCCAGGCTCTGAAGAAGGCGAACTGCCGAAACGTCAGCCATCGAATAAAGTTTAATGTAACACCTCGTGTTCTGCTCAAAGAAGAAAATCAAGAATCATACTGAAGCATGCCGAGGTTAATAGACAGTCGGTCTTGGGAGTTGTAATATCTACATCAAACACTTTTGAAGCACCTACCATTTTGCCAGCAATCTTTGCTATCGTTGCCCATAGAGCTTCTTCACGGTGTTCTACTGGTAGTTCGTGGTACTGCTCCACATATGTCTTGATTTCAGGATTATTCAGTCCTAAACGAGAACGGTCTTTCATCATGAAGTGTGGATGCAATAACATGATATGTTTATACAGTGTGTATTGCCATGAGCCATAGTCCTAAATAAGTTACCACGCTAAGGATTACCAAAAGCATCTATTCGTTGAGGTGTGGAAACGTGGTAGCCGACTTCTCTGGGAACGGACTACTCACTGTAACCCGAGAGAGTTTGTTTTAAACCAGCTGCACTACAACTGCAGAAAAATAGACTCGAGCATTATAATAGCATTCATGATGAGAGCGAAAATCCTGGGGCACTAGTCGAATTCACATGAGGAAAGTTCGGAAAGTGGTATCGGTCAACAATGTGAGTAATGAGTACGATGGAGAAGCACCGTCCAGTATAGTGGAGACAAATCGTGTATAATGAAATGAGAGAATCGACTTCAAATAGCAATCGCAATCCATTCATTTGACCGCTTGTTGAAATGATATGATCTTGTAATATTCCCAATGATGTGGAGCGCTGTGCAAAAACGATTGCGTCAGCCGGGATTCGAACCCAGATCTTGCAGCAAGCGGTCAAATGAATGGATTGCGATTGATTATTGATACCCAATATCTGTCAGCACAAGTGGGTTCAATGCCGATAGCGGCCGACCCCGATAGACCGTAAACGGTTGGCTGTTGACAGATAACGCGTTGTAGCTAAAAAGAGTGCTGTGCGAAACGAGTGTCGGTGGTGCAACGGTTAGCATACGCTCCCGGAAACAGTGAGATAAGGGTTCGAATCTCGTCTGACGCAATCGTTTTGCACAGAGCTCCACATCATTGGGTGACTTCATTTAGTCCTTTCTGGGAAGAGCTTTTCTCGATCTAGAAATGCTAGCGAATCAATATGCTAGAAACGTTTGAACGTCGGGTACAACTAATCTAGGAGTTCACGGAGATTCCCCGCACTAGCATTCAGTGACTATACTTAAGAAACTAAAGTTTTCTTGAACAGTAGTACAATCACTTGCAAGATCCCAAGTGGTTCGGAAGCAAGGCAATGGGTCGATCAAGAAAAAAAAAAGAAGTGTGGAGCTTGACGTATTTGGTGATTTCCGTCATATAAATAGCAAATAATATCAGGCTGTGCCATAAGTTTTAACATTTGATTAATAAGCATCAAATTTATTAACCAAAAGTAATCAAAACTGCAGATTCTGATATCGCTCATGATTTTGATATCGCTCAGTTGTGCATTCTCTTGAGAAGATACTAGTATACAGCTTGCGTGTTTCAAAATGGAGCTGTCTTGGGAACAAATGCGCTTGCTACTCATGCACAAATGGCGCGTAAGGGATAATACCAGTGAAGCGGTTCGCAAGATTAATGGAGCTTGCTGTGGACGGCTGGAGTACGACTAATCCTCCATACTGTTCTCTCCAGCTTTCAATATTGTAAACCACTTCCTAGTCATCCTTTCTGCAATCGTATCATCGTCTCAAACTCCGTTGATCTTGCGCGCCGCTTCACTACTATTTTCCCTACGCGCCAATCGTGCGTAATTGACAAGCACGGATGGCGCGTAGAGGAAAGCAGTAGTGATTTTTGTGTGGTAGTTTTCCTTAATGCAGCTCTTTTTCAAAGCAAATATAAGCAAGTTGTGTACAAAAATATTTCCAAGAAAATACACAATTGAATGACATTAAAATTATGTGATTTTAATTATTTCTGTTAAATGTTCATTGTGCTAATGTCAAAACTAATGGAACGATCTTATATATTGGTTGACCCTGGTAAGTGTACAAAAGATGCCCGATTCGACATTAAAGATTAGATCCTAATTTTACACTGAAGGAGTTTATAAACTTATTAGTTCAAAATATCCTCAAGAAATGTGCACATTTGAAATAACGGTTAAATGAGGCAGCGCAAGTTATCTGTTAACGTGTATCGACTGAAGCGTTGGTATTAATTGAAAATATTCCATGGCCCTTGCGAAGAATTCACCGCTTTCCCCTCGCAAGAAAATTTGATCCTAGGCATCTCTAAGAGCATATCACAGTCGCTCCATGTGATGAACTTTATTATACTCTATGGAATCAAAAATATGGCACATACGCTAGAGTTGATCAACATAAAGGATAAAAGGATAAAGCTCTCGGCGTTGATCAATCCCTGAGGGATGCGCCATGCATTCGGCTTCAATTTCTAACTTCGTTTGAGGTGATTGAATGCACATCTGGCCTTTACAATGACTCGCAGTGGCCTCCCGCTGAACCGAGTCAGTGCTGCTTATCCTCCCAGACAAGTCTGAGGCCTGTCTGGTACCAATTTACCGACCCCATAGGGATGGATGACTTGGTGAGCCATGAGCGCAAGTTCGAACCAGCGACCACGTGTGCGACGCAGGGCACCTCTAACCACTGCGCCACATGCGCTCCTGATCAATAAAAAGTTTTTTTAGAGAATGTTATTACTTTTCGAAGGCCTAGATCTGGAATCACCCGCCTACGTAACCGGCGTCTTAGAAAGGTCTCTATAATAAAGTGTAAAGCTAAAAAATTTGAGACAAAATTATATATCAAAATATCACACGTGCATAGTTCTCGTCGTACAGAGCTCTTTTTCTAGAGTATCTATACTCATTCAATTGCGTAAATTTTAGTGATTACGACGCTGGAAAGAAAAAAGAAGCTCTGCGCTCATTTTCTGGAAAGATTGTTTCTATGCAAAGTAGCAGTTCAGACAATGTTGATTTTGCATGCGCGAGCAGGGGGTCTTTGGTCCATTCATGGACTGTTGGGTGAAGTGGGTAATGGAGATTCACAAGTATCGATAGATTTTCAAGCGATCTTATGTTAGTATAATCTTTCTTATTTAATTAGGAATTATTTCTCCGCTTCGAAAGCAAATCTCCAATGAACGTATGAGCCGTTACAATAAGACTTTGCATAGTATACCCAATATGTGGAGCGCTGTGCAAAAACGTTCGCGTCAGCCGGGATTGGAACCCAGATCTCACTCTTTCCGGGAGCGGAGGCTAACCGTTGCACTACCAACGCTCGCTTTGCACAGCACTCTTATCTACGCTACAACGCGTTGTCTGCCAACAGCCTGCCCCATTCAGCGGCCCGTGAATTGCCCAAGGACCACTTGCTCGCGTATGTGAATCAATCTCATTTCATTTGCTGCGTGCAGAGAAAAGGTTTTTTCAGGATGTAGGCACATCGTTGAAATCGGCAAATTATGCGCTACTGAACTTTTGCTTATAGTCCAAGAGAAAGAGCAGCGAGAAATATGTGCATGTGAAACATAGTCTTGTATTGGACTTTCCAGCATAGGAAAGGGACTTTTCCAGACGACGATCGCGAGGACAGATGGCCCGAGATTTGAGCTTTTGAATGATTACTAACATTTGTTATGTAAATAGCGATACTTTTCCATTATCTCCATCCTATTTTAGGCTCGGCAAAAAAAGTCTCTTTGTTTTTGTGAAAAATTTGGTAGTCGGTCATATGATAGCTCAAACATAGCAAATCTGAATGGTATATTTTATTCTCCAAATGTCTTGTTTTTGGTGCTGTTACAGTGCAAATGAGACTTTGTTCTACATCCAAGCATTTCTCGCCGTATGTGATTTGTTTTATGATCATAATTTTAAATATTAGATAGGGAAAATCATAGCGACTTCAAAGAATATTTGATTTTTGAAATGGATTTCTGAAAGCGCTGCAGCGCTCAAAAGAAGATTGGGTTTCAAACGTTCGGATCATTTCTGCTTTTTGAAGCGAGGCAATTTATTGACTTTTCTAAGATTTTTGTACCTTGTCCGACAGCTCAATCTAGACAATTTCAGCAATGTATTTGAAATCTGAACAAAACCTTTTAGTCCTGCTCTAACAGCTAAAATAAAATTATGTTACACACTTGTGGTGTTTCGTCGCGTTTTACGCTAGGTAGAGCATATCTCTAGGACTTTCAGTAAGCATTCGATAGTCTGAACTATGCCAACTCCAGTGGTGTATGTGATTTCCCGAAAGGACCTTTTAGTGAGCTGCAGCAGCCGCAAGAAAATTAGGTGTCGCCCAGCGCAACGATGGCATCAGGTCACCACGCATAACCACTATGTAGATGAGATTTCGCAACATTGGCACTTGGCCAACAAACCATATCAACATTCGCCACATTGAGCAAGTCATTGCACGTCAACTACCTTCCAACTGTCTTCTGTTTCGCATCGAGTTCACTTGATTATGAGCATTTTTTATCCGCCACCACCGAAAAGCAGCCGTCGTCCCCTTACAAAAACACGGCGTATTACAATCCAAATGTCTGTGCAAAAAAGGCATCGAACAATTCCTCAGTTGTGTTCACATATTGTTTGGCGATGTTACAAACACGGTTGTAGCGATATGGTCAATATAAGAGTCGGAGTTTAGTTTTAGAACACTCGTCTTCCTTGGTGTACAAGGAATCTCGGCATAAGCTACAACACAGTCGTAAACTGGAATAACTAGTTTTTTGGAACTCTCCTGAATGCAAAGTTTTCTGGCCTCCTGATAACTAGTTTTTATTGCATTGTGAGTTAGTCAGTCTTCAAAAAACATTAAATTATTATGAACAAATTGTTTTCTCGAGAAGAAAGCCCATGAGGGTGTAGAGAAAATTTCGAGGTATCAGAGAAAATGCTGGTATTCATCAAAAATCCGCATATGATTTGTGGCGCGGATTGATATACAGCTAGTACACACGCCCTGGCCGAGGGAAGTGCTCACCGAATGCGAAACTAATTTTCCTTTGACTCTTTAAGCGCTCTAAGAAGTTTCCTCTAAAAACCTAGCGTACTAATGAGATCATCAAGATGTTGTCTATGTGATGATTGAAATCTGATTATAAAAATTTCTATCCGACGAAAAATGGTTGAATGAGAAATAAAGTTTTATATTGACTGTTAAAGCGTTCACAAAAAGTCTTTTGGGAATTCAAATGTACCATTGAAATTCACTTTATTTGAGCTATTGAATGATTACTAGAACGTTATACAGGAGCAGAAAATACATTTTAAGCTAGGGCTACGAATAAGTTGGGATAACGGAAAAGTACGGAAACTTCTTGTCGAGCGTATGGGATAGGCTTTAGAATCTGCGCTGCCATCGAAAAGAGAACATGGCACTTAACGTTCCAATCAGTTTGCATGCCATTTAATCCCAACTATACAAGAATCTTACCTTTGACGAGGAGGACAACAAGTTCACTGAATTCGAAATATAAATTCAACGAAAGCTTTCCTTTACCTACCTAGAGAGGAGTTTGTATTGATGAACTTTTAGTCCAAGTGAAAACTCAGACGATGCTGCTGGTGAACAGTTCAAAAGGGGAATAATCTCGTATCAGTCGTTTCGTTGAATTTGGAACATTTTTACTTTCTTGACTAACAAAGGCTAGTTGAAGATCGAATGGTGACTCAAGCAGAACTTTTAGAATATTCAACTAAAATTAGCCGACTTCTGTTGCAACTCCGTGCCATCCATCGATTGTTATTATGTTGAGTGGAAAAATTATCTGTGAGAAGACACCGTTTTCCGGAATATGCACTAATCAGGATCGACTTCCTACCTTCGAAAGTTTTTTTGATAAATGTGTTCCCCATTTTTAACATTGAATATGGAAGAGGCCAGCTTATAAGCACTTAATGACCTTAGAAAAACTAGGGTCCTATAAGCTACTACGCTACAACAACCATTGCTTACTCTCATGATGACTCGCCTTAGGAATAACGTTTTCTTTTTGAAATAGATAGATTAAAAAAAAGTTCGAGTTAGTTCAGCTTTGTAACCTCGTTCGTTGTGAAGTTTCCTCATTTGCTCCGGTTCCATGAAAGTGAAACCTCTTCTGTCCAATTCTCTTTTTTGAAGTCTTGACAGGGAATCGCGAAGCTGTTCGAAGCTTTCTCCAATCTTCAAATCTTAGCTTCGTAATAAATGCAATAATCCTCAACAAATAAAATTAATACTGATCAAGTATTAAAGATTACTATAATAAAATCATTACTAAGCACAATTAGTATCAATCAAGAACGATTTTTGACTGACTTTGATGGTGCTCAAACATTATCAACGGCAACGCCTTTGAAAAAGGAGAAGTGCTGGTCAAGCTCATTCAACTTGGATGAACAAATTCAACAAGTCCTGATTACTTCACGGAATTCTATTTCAAATACAGTTTCTTGTCTGTATTGGTTTCTTAACGGCTTTATTCATTTACACAATCCACCTCTCTGAAGTAGAAGACCTTCATACCCCACGAAAAGACAAACAGAGGCTCTTTTTCCCACGGAAAGAATACTGAATAGTGTACTTCTTCTAACAACTCCCAAGACCGACTGTCTATTAACCTCGGCATGCTTCAGTATGATTCTTGATTTTCTTCTTTGAGCAGAACACGAGGTGTTACATTAAACTTTATTCGATGGCTGACGTTTCTCGGCAGTTCGCCTTCTTCAGAGCCGCTTTTTATATGTGTTCCACTGGATGATCCAAGTGGAGATCACCGGCAAGAGAGACACATAGGCTCGTAATGCCATCCAGTGGAACACATATAAAAAGCGGCTCTGCAGAAGGCGAACTGCCGAAACGTCAGCCATCGAATAAAGTTTAATGTAACACCTCGTGTTCTGCTCAAAGAAGAAAATCAAGAATCATACTGAATAGTGTTCCAAAATTTGCTACAATATCAACTTATAATTTATCAAATGATCAAGGTAGTGTGACATCTTTTTGGTTTGCACAGCCCGTTATCACTTTTCATCTACGGATCTCAGTCTACCACACAGCTGGCTTTCTCACATATAACTCCTCATCTTCAAGTATCTCGGGTGTTATTCAACTGCTGTTCGAGAATTTCGCCTTAATCTGAATGTCATAGTAGGTTGGACATATCTTCTTGCAGTCTTTAGGGTAGCTAGGTACAGAGTTCCCAGGTGATTATAGAAGAGTGTTCAGGTGGGGGGGCATTAAAGCGGCATAGCGCTTCCTCATAGCGCACATCACTATCAAGATCGGTCACAAGCTCCCTCCTTGCTCTTATAGGCAACATAGTAATACAGAATTATAGCAATGTGAACCGACTTCCTGTAACTTTCAACAATTCCGATAAACGACACATTCCTTGTTGAGAAACAATAGTCATTCCGAAATAAAGAGCATCATTTTCACAATCTCCTGCCAACGATCTGCAAGCTTCCGAATCGGCACGAAGCGGGTCATTATTTGGACTGTGAATAAAGAAATTCCTGACATGCCTCTTCAACCTGATCACATGTCTCGAATCGGCGTCTACGCAGGAAATGTTTCAGTGAGCGGAAATGACCATTATCGGACGGCGCAGCATCTGGACTGTAGGCTGGATGCGACAAGACCTCAACTTTCTTTACTTTGATCAAACCTTTCCTTAGTGTTCTTTGCGGTGTGAGGTTTGGCATTGACTTGCTGAAACACCGCGTGCTTTCGCCGAATTAATGTCGGGTACTTTTCCCCTCAACGCATCATATACTCGTTTCATTTGCTTGCAGTAAAGTGCGGCAATGATGGCGAGACCATTTGGAACAAGTTAAAAATGCAGGGCTCCTTCAAAATTCCACGAAACGCAGATCGTGAACGGGCAACTGATGGAGGAGCTTGACTTTTTTGGAACCCAACTTTTGCCGTGCGAGTCTTTTATGTAAATATTCCTGAAATATTCCCATAAACTTACATTAGCGATACTATGTGAAACAAATATATAATTTGAATTTTTCGCGGATGTCAGCGAGATTTTTCCTCAGCAGTTACAGTGGATTAGTTGAATTATGAGGTCTCTGAGAGGAATGAGGTTAATTATATCATAATGGCGCTTCTACGTCCAACGCCTTTTTTACTCAGATGCATCTTTGATGTGCATTGGAAAATTGAACATATGGGCATTCACTACTTAACAAGTTTTGTGAATACTCTTATCCTTTCGGCATTCCACTGTAGTAAGCTATAACTCTTGATACGAGATCATCACTGTCAGCAACGACGTT